CCTTAGCAGCCTCTACCCCAGACCTCATTCCCTCATCTGTTTAACAGCTGTGAGACAGGCAGGAACTGAAACGAGGACATTCCAAACACCTAAAACCTGACAAGCTGAGGCTGAGTCTCAATCAGTGGGACCCAAGATTACTGTGGGAACGACCGCTGCCTAATCTTCAGACACATGCTACCCTCTCTGTACGGTATTAATGTGCTAGCTGACACTCCCACCAGTGCCAGGACAATTTGGAATAACCGTGGCAAGAGCCAGAGCTATGTTAAATAAGGCCAGAAATGGGAGGGGCAGTGGTTCCCTGGAAAAGTCATGAAAAAACTACCCCTTTCTCAGCCTGGCATTAAACCAAACCATACAGACCAGATCGAGACTGCCCTGCCTATGGGGTAGCCCTTCTATCTTTCCTTTGGGTAACCATTCTCCCCTCCCTCTTGGAGGAAGAAATGAGACTATTCACACATGTTCCGTCATGGGTCTGTTCCACCTATGGAGTATTCTGCTCCGTACACTGTTCTTAGTAAACTTGCTTTCACTCTTCCCTCAAAGACTCGCTCTTGAATTCTTTCCTGTGAGAAGCCAAGGACCCTCATGCCCTGGGTAGAGACCCCCACAAGTTCCAGTCATACTTCATCTCTTACTTTGTGAATATTGTTAGAAAGAGTCAAAAATAAAAATAAAAATGTAAAGTGCAACTCAGATTCTATCGCAAAGGTCTTAAATACACATACAGGTGAGTGAATAACAAAACACAAAAGCTGCATGTCCACAACACTCAAAAGCCACTCAGCAGAGTCACAAACCCTTGCTTGGGAAAAGTACATGTTTGTACATACATGTGTGTATATGTGTATGCATATATACACATGTATATTCATAAACATGAATATATGTATACATATACGTATGTTGCATTTTGCAAATATTTTATATGTAAATATAGGGAAATAGAACTTTATAAAAAATAAAAATCAGATAAACTTGATTGTTAAAAGACCCCCTGATGGGCCAGCAGGTGGTACAGGGGTTACTGCACTGGATTCTCACATGGCTGACCATGGTTCAAGTGTCACACATGGCAGCTTGAAAATCATACCTGGTGTGCATGCGTGCATACCCAAGATCCTAGGAGAATGGAGGAGAAAGGATTGTGGTGTGGCCAACCCCCAGGGAGTGAGTTCTTACTTTCTCAAGTGAGCACATGTGCCCTATGGCAAAAAAAATTTTATTTAAAAAAATGATCCCCTGGATATGTCCTAAAGCCTGTTCATTACTTTCTTTCAAAAAGCTACATATTCATGTCTAGTTTGATATGAGAAATGTGGGTGCATTTCCACATCGTTTTCTAACTCCTCACTGCCAACTCTATATAATGCACATGCTCTCCAGGCTAGCATTGGATCTGGAGCTGCACAGATGACGAGCTCCCGAAGCAGCAACTGGCTCTCCCAGAAGCTGGATCCTTTCTGGTTCCATGCAAAAGTCTGGGAAACGTTCCAGAAATCAGAATGAAAACAAAACCTGCTCAAATTCAAGCAATGACAGCTGCCTTCACTTCCAATAATCAAAACACACCTCGTCATCACAGCAGACCCCAAGGAAAGAAGCGGGGCTGCTGGGCACCCACACTGAGTACATGAGGACAGCAGCTCCCAGTTAGGAATGAGGTTATCAAATAACAGCTGTCGCCACGGCTGGGTCCTTCAGATGGTGGCCTGCTGTCAGTTCACAGAAGGTGTCTAAATATTCCAGAAAATCGTGTCAGAGAAAGTCCCTAAGGTAAGGACACACATCAACAATTCTCAGCAGGAGACGTACAGCCTTGCTGATGATGCTTCGGCTCCTACCACTTGCTCATGTCCTGGCACAGGAGAGGACACCAATACCAAACACAGCCACGCAGCACACAGCCAAACCCTCAACGGATACGGGGGACTTAAGTCATGAAAAAACTACCCCTTTCTCAGCCTGGCATTAAACCAAACCATACAGACCAGATCGAGACTGCCCTGCCTATGGGGTAGCCCTTCTATCTTTCCTTTGGGTAACCATTCTCCCCTCCCTCTTGGAGGAAGAAATGAGACTATTCACACATGTTCCGTCATGGGTCTGTTCCACCTATGGAGTATTCTGCTCCGTACACTGTTCTTAGTAAACTTGCTTTCACTCTTCCCTCAAAGACTCGCTCTTGAATTCTTTCCTGTGAGAAGCCAAGGACCCTCATGCCCTGGGTAGAGACCCCCACAAGTTCCAGTCATACTTCATCTCTTACTTTGTGAATATTGTTAGAAAGAGTCAAAAATAAAAATAAAAATGTAAAGTGCAACTCAGATTCTATCGCAAAGGTCTTAAATACACATACAGGTGAGTGAATAACAAAACACAAAAGCTGCATGTCCACAACACTCAAAAGCCACTCAGCAGAGTCACAAACCCTTGCTTGGGAAAAGTACATGTTTGTACATACATGTGTGTATATGTGTATGCATATATACACATGTATATTCATAAACATGAATATATGTATACATATACGTATGTTGCATTTTGCAAATATTTTATATGTAAATATAGGGAAATAGAACTTTATAAAAAATAAAAATCAGATAAACTTGATTGTTAAAAGACCCCCTGATGGGCCAGCAGGTGGTACAGGGGTTACTGCACTGGATTCTCACATGGCTGACCATGGTTCAAGTGTCACACATGGCAGCTTGAAAATCATACCTGGTGTGCATGCGTGCATACCCAAGATCCTAGGAGAATGGAGGAGAAAGGATTGTGGTGTGGCCAACCCCCAGGGAGTGAGTTCTTACTTTCTCAAGTGAGCACATGTGCCCTATGGCAAAAAAAATTTTATTTAAAAAAATGATCCCCTGGATATGTCCTAAAGCCTGTTCATTACTTTCTTTCAAAAAGCTACATATTCATGTCTAGTTTGATATGAGAAATGTGGGTGCATTTCCACATCGTTTCCTAACTCCTCACTGCCAACTCTATATAATGCACATGCTCTCCAGGCTAGCATTGGATCTGGAGCTGCACAGATGACGAGCTCCCGAAGCAGCAACTGGCTCTCCCAGAAGCTGGATCCTTTCTGGTTCCATGCAAAAGTCTGGGAAACGTTCCAGAAATCAGAATGAAAACAAAACCTGCTCAAATTCAAGCAATGACAGCTGCCTTCACTTCCAATAATCAAAACACACCTCGTCATCACAGCAGACCCCAAGGAAAGAAGCGGGGCTGCTGGGCACCCACACTGAGTACATGAGGACAGCAGCTCCCAGTTAGGAATGAGGTTATCAAATAACAGCTGTCGCCACGGCTGGGTCCTTCAGATGGTGGCCTGCTGTCAGTTCACAGAAGGTGTCTAAATATTCCAGAAAATCGTGTCAGAGAAAGTCCCTAAGGTAAGGACACACATCAACAATTCTCAGCAGGAGACGTACAGCCTTGCTGATGATGCTTCGGCTCCTACCACTTGCTCATGTCCTGGCACAGGAGAGGACACCAATACCAAACACAGCCACGCAGCACACAGCCAAACCCTCAACGGATACGGGGGACTTTGTTCTTAGTAAACTTGCTTTCACTCTTCCCTCAAAGACTCGCTCTTGAATTCTTTCCTGTGAGAAGCCAAGGACCCTCATGCCCTGGGTAGAGACCCCCACAAGTTCCAGTCATACTTCATCTCTTACTTTGTGAATATTGTTAGAAAGAGTCAAAAATAAAAATAAAAATGTAAAGTGCAACTCAGATTCTATCGCAAAGGTCTTAAATACACATACAGGTGAGTGAATAACAAAACACAAAAGCTGCATGTCCACAACACTCAAAAGCCACTCAGCAGAGTCACAAACCCTTGCTTGGGAAAAGTACATGTTTGTACATACATGTGTGTATATGTGTATGCATATATACACATGTATATTCATAAACATGAATATATGTATACATATACGTATGTTGCATTTTGCAAATATTTTATATGTAAATATAGGGAAATAGAACTTTATAAAAAATAAAAATCAGATAAACTTGATTGTTAAAAGACCCCCTGATGGGCCAGCAGGTGGTACAGGGGTTACTGCACTGGATTCTCACATGGCTGACCATGGTTCAAGTGTCACACATGGCAGCTTGAAAATCATACCTGGTGTGCATGCGTGCATACCCAAGATCCTAGGAGAATGGAGGAGAAAGGATTGTGGTGTGGCCAACCCCCAGGGAGTGAGTTCTTACTTTCTCAAGTGAGCACATGTGCCCTATGGCAAAAAAAATTTTATTTAAAAAAATGATCCCCTGGATATGTCCTAAAGCCTGTTCATTACTTTCTTTCAAAAAGCTACATATTCATGTCTAGTTTGATATGAGAAATGTGGGTGCATTTCCACATCGTTTTCTAACTCCTCACTGCCAACTCTATATAATGCACATGCTCTCCAGGCTAGCATTGGATCTGGAGCTGCACAGATGACGAGCTCCCGAAGCAGCAACTGGCTCTCCCAGAAGCTGGATCCTTTCTGGTTCCATGCAAAAGTCTGGGAAACGTTCCAGAAATCAGAATGAAAACAAAACCTGCTCAAATTCAAGCAATGACAGCTGCCTTCACTTCCAATAATCAAAACACACCTCGTCATCACAGCAGACCCCAAGGAAAGAAGCGGGGCTGCTGGGCACCCACACTGAGTACATGAGGACAGCAGCTCCCAGTTAGGAATGAGGTTATCAAATAACAGCTGTCGCCACGGCTGGGTCCTTCAGATGGTGGCCTGCTGTCAGTTCACAGAAGGTGTCTAAATATTCCAGAAAATCGTGTCAGAGAAAGTCCCTAAGGTAAGGACACACATCAACAATTCTCAGCAGGAGACGTACAGCCTTGCTGATGATGCTTCGGCTCCTACCACTTGCTCATGTCCTGGCACAGGAGAGGACACCAATACCAAACACAGCCACGCAGCACACAGCCAAACCCTCAACGGATACGGGGGACTTACCGCCACAAACAGCATGCAGTACATGGAGAACGAAGAGTGGCCTGAATAGAAGGACAATCTAGAAGAAAAAAGAAGAGAAACATTCATTTTCTCTCCTAAACACCAAGAATATTTTTTATCTCATAATTCTCCTTAGCCTTAGAGTGCACATAGCCCCTCCCTCCACCTTCAGAAACTAGAAGGTGAAGGTGAGGGCACAGTTAGGATAGGAACGTTAGAATCCTCAGAGGTGTGGAGACAACATCTATACAGTCTCATTTTGTCACAGCTGCCAGGATGGGTAATGAGTCACTGTAACAAACTTGCAAGCATTCCTATAGAGGCTGGGGGTAACACTTGACAACCACAATTGGCATCAAAGGCCCTGACTTTACTATATATAATTACATGTGACCACGACTTAAGTTTTATTTTTTACTTGCAGGGTTTGTCCTTTAATAGTGCAATAAATACCTCATGTGAAACACTCGGAAACTGACTACTTTTTTTCCCATTCCCATTTAATATTTTAGTGTTTTAAATGAGCACACATCTTGCCTTTCATTTTCCACCAGATTAAGTGCTTTTGTTTGACATATATTTTAAAACTGTGCACAGACACCTCTGTACCAAATGAATCACCTCTTTCAATATAATAGTCTATAAACATCTATGTATTCTCTTCCCAACTAAAAATAACAGAATGCTTGCAAACTAACTTGACAGCACTACTGAAAAAGGAAAAAGCTCACTAACATTCAAGGTCACAGAATTAGCCACTGATGCAGAAAAGACAACCACATTAATACAGTAGACTATGCCTTGAAAAGGTGCAGAGGCAAATAATCAGGATGCTCCCCTGTCCCTATATAAGAACAGAACAAAAGCAAGGCTCTTCCGTATTACACCCCTTCTTGCTCAGATAGAATCTTCGGCAGATGTTGGGTCCCTGGATTTAGAGAGAAGAAAAGACTCCTAAATAACACACCAGCAAGTCATGTGTGTATGAATGTTTGGCAGCTGAGGGTGGGTGGGGAAAGAAAGATTACTTAAGTATATGCTGATGATGGTTCTTCCAAGCATTTTGATTGTCTTTTATGTAATCAGACATTTCTAGTAAAAAGAATCTAATTTCTGGCACCAACCAGGGATTATGTAATTAAATCTGATAATCACTCTATATTTAATCAAGATAAACAGAATCACTTTTTAGCCTTAATTATTTAGATGACCCACAAAAAAATGGATCTGTACAAATCCTTATTTTAAATCAGAAAATTGGGGCAGAGTTCTTCATATTTTACAGTTACTTCTGATATTATACTGAAGAGCCTGTAAGTTCATAAAAGCCAATTTCAAAGGACTGTCAAAGTCCACTAATTCAACATATCCTTGATCACAGAAAAACTCTGAAAATCAAGCAAGATTCACTAAATCCTATATATTGTCTCACAAACTCAAACAGCAAACTAATGTAATCCTATGAAACAGCTCTGAATTTGCCACAGGGTGATTTCATTAGTTAAAAACAAATAGTTTCAGGTTTTTGCTTTTTTTTTAACACTGAATACATTAACATATTTTTTTCAGCATACAATCAACCAAGAATTATGGCTAGTACTTTGACAGACAGGAATTAAAAACAAATGTATAGGCCCAGCTGTATAGGCCCAGCTGTAACACAAGTGCTCTGCAAGCCTGGAAGCCACAGGGCCAGCCATAGGTATGGGAGCCCAGGATCCTGAGGGCTGGAGGGCTGGGTAAAGGGGGTCATGGCATGAGATGCTGTTAAGAGCGCATGCTCGCTCTCTCTCGATCTTATGGGCACAATATCATACACACACAAAAAAAGTCCAATCTCTCTGGAACAGCTGGTAGTGTTAACAGCTGGTAGAGCTGTTAACTCTGGTTCGAGTCCTCAGCCCAGCTGGCCTGAAAACATACCAGAGGCATGTGCTTATGCCCAGAATCCTGGCAGGCTGGAGGACTGCAGGAGGGAGACTAGAACATGACCAAGCACCCACTCTTTCTTTCTTTTGTGCACATGTGCACACTTTATCATGAATTAAAAAGGAAAAAACAAAAAATCAAAGAAATATTTCTGTTCAATCTCAGTTTTTTATTTTTTTTTTATAGGTTTTTGCTATAGGGCATGTGCACTCTCCAGAAAGATGGAGAGATAGAGAGAGATAGAAAGTGAGAAATCACCCCTCAAGGGGGATGGCCACACCGCAATCCCTTCTCCTCCATTCTCCTCTTGGGATCTTGGGCATGCATGCACATTCGCCCAGTGTGAGTTTAAGGGACTCGAACTGCAGTCAGCTCATGGGAATTCAGTGACATAGCCATTACACTAACTGCTGGTCCCTTCAATCTCAGTTTTTTTTTTTTTTAAGTGACTTTCGCTATACTGCCCATATGCTCACCAGAGAGAAAGCAAGAAATTACCCCCTGGGGGGATGGCCATGCCGCAATCCCTTCTCCTCCATTCTCCTCTCAGGGTCATGGGCACACACACACGCCCGGCGTGAATTTAAGCCACCGGGTCCGGGACTCAAACCATAGTTGACTACATGGGAGTCCAGTGACATAGGCATTACACCAACTACTGGTCCCCCTGATGTGAGTTTTAAGCCAGCAGGTCTGGGATTTGAACTGTGGTCAACTACATGGGAGTCCAGTGACATAACCACTACACCACCCACTGGTCCTCAATCTCAGTTTCTAAGCTTCCATCCATAGTAGCTTATGAAATAGGGCCTAGAATATGGATTTTTACATCTATTAAGAAGAAAACAATAATGTACAAAAACATAATTCAAATTATTCACATTCCATACTAATCTTACTGTTTTGGAGTCTCTAGGAGAGACAGCTTTTAACAGTATCTTATTATGTCCATAATTCACTAAATAATGTATTAATATGTATGTATGGGTAGTTTAATCAAATCCAAGAACAATCTAAATGTAGACTGTTTTATATTGACCTTAACTAAATTGTGTAAGATTTTGGCCTTAAGAATAATGTCCTTAGGATTTTTTATGGACATATGGATAATAAATGTACACATTCATGGAGAAAATGTGATCTTTCAGTACAAGAATACAATGTGTGATGAGTAAATCAGAGTAATTAGAATATTCATCACCTCAGCAATTTGCCAGAACACTGCGTTAAGAACATTCAAAATCCCCTTTAAAAAAAAAAATGACAGCGGGCATGTTTACTCACCAGAGAGAGACAGGGAATTTTTTTGGAAAGAGAGAGCGAGGGAGAAAGCAACCCCCCAATAGGATATGATCATGCCACAATCCCTTCTCTTCCATTTCTCCATCCTGTTGGGATTTGGGGCACACAAGCACATGTGCCTGGAGTATTTTTCAAGCCACTGGGGTCAGGATTCGATCTGCATAGTTGGCCATGTGGAATCTGGCTCCCTTAACCTTCAGCCCACTGGGCCAGTCCCCAGATCCTCTTATTCTGCTACTCTGAGATAGTTAGTTACTGTTAGCTATAGTCACCCTATCATACTTTACAACACTGTGAACTGCTCCTGTTATCTTTTTGGAATTTTGTTTCTGTAATGCCATCTTTCTATGCTGTCCTTCCAGGCTCTACAGTCATTCTGCTATTCTCCCATTCTCTGAGGTTATCCTTTCCAATTTCCACCTGGGTGGAAGCATATCATATTTATCTTCCTGTGCCTGGCTTATTTCACTTAACGCACTGTCCTTCTGACTTGCCCATGTTACCTCAAATGACAGCATTTTATTCTTTTTAATGTCTGAACAGTATTCCTGTGTGTGTGTGTGTACACATGTTCTTTATCCATTCATTTGTCAATGGACCCTTAGGTTAACTCCCTCTCCTGCTGTTGTGAACAGAGCTGGAATAAACACTGGAGTGCAGCTATCTGTATGACACACTGACTTCCTTCCCTTTGGATATATGCCTAGTAGTGGGAGTGTTAGATCATCCACCTGCCCTTAGATTTTAACCAATCCTAGACTACCATCTCACTTCATTATAGCCCCTCTGATGCAGGTAGAGACAGTAACAATTTAAGCCACCTTTTCACCAAATCATAGGAAAATCTTTTCAGAAAGTCCACAGAGCTAAAAATGTATTCTGAAATGCAGATGTTTTCATGAACTCTGGGGAATGGGCTATTATAACAGTTATAATTTTAAATTCACAAGTAGAGCAGTCCTAACATACTGTGAACAGGTTCTATTGCAAACAGCAAATTTTGTTTTCTTCTGCATGTCAGCCAGGACAACCCATTCTCTTGGGGGAGCTTTGTGAACTCAGCCTGAACCCCTATATCACAGCCTTGCTAAGTAAAAGATTTCAGGGTAAGGCAGAAAGAAGAGACAGTCAATCTCTTTCTAAAGAGCATACGTACTGTTTTCATTTTTATGAGGCAAGATAGATAGCTAAAGACAAGCCCTGCCCCAGGGAACCACCACCAAGGTCCAGAAAGCCTTGCATTCCCACCTGGTTAGTACGCTCACTTCTAAATCTCCTGCAGATCAAGAAAAACCACTAACTCTTGGTCATCAGGGTGAAGAAGGAAGAGGCTCAAGGTGTTAACACTTTCTTTAGTTTTATATAAATAGAAAATTTAGCCTGGAGTTGAAACAGACATAGCCAGTGGCAACAGAAGAGGCAAAAGCTAACACAGATGTAAAATTATTAGAGCCCAACAGGAAGTTGGCCAGACAGGTCACTCCCGTTCCTTTCAGATTAGAACAGATGACATCATTACAGCTCATGTTACCACGAAGACTAGCAAAGTACCACATACTTCACTTTTTGAAAACTTTCTACAAGATGAAAGCAGAAAAGCCACATTTCCTTCAGTATCTCAACTCCTTTTGCTGCGAAAAGAAAAATTACAGCAATTCCTACCATATCATATTTACATGTCCACTTTAGTAGACTTAGATTATAATTAAAGAAAGGAAAATTAAATATTTTTTTATAAATATGAAAACAAAAACAGCCCAGCTGTGGTAGTGAATGCTGGTTTATGCTGTTGCTTGGCTAGGGCTAGGCTACCTGAGTGGCCAGGGT